CCCTCCTGCTGGCTGTCCTACCCACACTGTGCTTTTGCCCTTGGGTGCCGGGCTGGGGGTGGGGCCAGAAGACCCTGGCTTTCAGGTTAATCTTTATCTTGATTAATCTTGCTGCCAGGGGATTCCTGGTTGGGGATTCTCATCTTAATCCTTGTCTTCTGGCTTTTTAAGCACCTCTAAGCTGGGATAAAGTGGACTTGTTTGGAGTCCTTTAATGTTAGAGACCAACATGGGGTCCCATTGGTTGACCAGTTTCTGGCAGTGCTGTAGCCACACCTTGATTTCGACTTCATCACCCATCCCTCGTCAATGTCTGCTTTGCTCATCCCATTTTTCAACAGTCATCTGAAGGCTTTCGCTCTGCTGGTATGAGTTCCTTCACTCTCCCCTCTGTTTCTCCCCATTTTCATAATTAACGTTCTTGGTATCAGTAAGACCCATACAGGGAAGCTGAGACAGCAGATCTGATGATGCTTCTCATACTGTTCGATTTTGTAGCAGTCACAACAGGGGCACTCTCAGTCACAGCACTTACCAGTTGGCATATTCAGTGGATGAACATCCCAGTCATCGTAAAGCTAATCCCACGTCTCCTGCATACAGAGCCTCCCAGCTGCTTCGTTGAGGGCGTTCCATCTGACATTTATAGGGGACTTGGGAAATACCTTTTCTCAGGATAAGCACACTCTACAGTGGCCTTTATCCAGTCCACCAGCTGGGCTGTTTCCTGGGGAATAACCTCCTGTGTAGTCTGGATCACGTACAGCCATCTGTACTTGTTCAAAAGAGCTGTGGGTCCTGCATCCACCCACATGTGCTGTTCCACCCTGCAGCCTTCAAAACCAAAGACACCAACCTTCCTCTATATTAACTACCTTCCTGGTGACCAGAGGTCTTAGAGGTACTTTCTGTTGCCCCTGCATAATTTTTCCCTTTCTAGGCAGCTTTGAGGCTAACGACTGAAGCTCAGGTTGACCCAAATCTGAGCTTGGTTCAGCATCAAGGCCTGACCCAGCACTTTTTTATTTTCATTTTGGCTTACAGATAAAATAACCAAGAAATTGTATATTTAGCATGCCTCTTAGTACTTTGTTTTTCCTTATGTATCCAGTGAACCAGCCCCTTGGGAGTCGGGTCTGCTCCAATTTCTAAATTCCATTGGTAGCTTTTACCTTTAGAAACTGATCACAGTACAGCTGCAGTTTCTTACCATGGTGACTGGTCACCATCCAGGGATCAATGTTTCCTCATTTCCTGCCCTTTTATCCTTTCTCTTCAAAAGCCACATGTGTCCATGAGCAGGGCTGTTTTTGCAAATCCCATTTCTGGCTCTAAATAAGTAGAGTTCCTGGACGCAGTTGTATTGTGTGTGTGTGTGTGCATGTGCACATGCTTCCCGACACCAGCAAGCAGTCTTTGGATGCCAGTCTTTGGGTGTCCAAGAATTTAACCCAATTCTGACATAGTCTATCTGGAGATAGAATCAGGTTCCACAGGTAAAGGACTCAGTCCCACAAGACCACCTACCTCAGATGCTGGTGGCCAGCCCAGGTTGTTACCTGTGCTTCTGCTCAACCTGCTGCAAAAAACAACAACAACAACAAAAAACACCCTCTCTTCAGGTTTGATTAGTTTACTAGAATGACTCACAGAACTCAGGAACATCTGTTTACCCACTAGATTACTGATTATTATAGAAGGTGACTAAAGGATATGAATCAACAG